ACACGGTTGCTGGGCAAGATGGGTATCTGTTGGGCAGCTCGCAGACAGGCTGTATATGCGGTAAAGCGACCTCCGAATCGTATAGCACTCTCGGCGTGCCGGATGGAGAGCTGCCAATCAGACACACCGGCCCAGCAGCCCGAAGCGGATGCGCACCACGGCGATCAAGCAGGGAGACGAGGCATCGTCAGGGCGGAAAGCCTCCAGCTGAAGTAACACGCGCACATCTGCTTGGTTACGAATATGGATCGTTGACAGCCAATCCGAGCTTCTCTCGGAACTGGCTGCGGATTGTACAGGCGTTCCATTACGTGTTCCAGCTCCCAGCACTGTGTCACTCTAGGACCTAGGACGTTCGTCGGCGCAGGTGCTAACGGCTGTCGCATCGGGTGTACTTGCTGCATGCAGCCGTGACATCGTCTCAGCCCACGTGTCTGCCTCGACCTCGTCTAACCTGGCCTCGACCGCGAGCGCCCATTCCAGAGACGCTCCGGCGAACACTGCATGATGTGGGCATATACAACCCAGAGGACCTTCTCGCTGAGAGTACGGTTTGAGAGTGCGGTACAGATCGGCGTGGATCAGATCCAAATCGGAATCGGTGGCGAACCCGACCTCTTTCCGTGCCTGGATCGTACTGGAAGCACAGAAATAAATGGACGGCTTTTCCACGGAACTAGCAAAGATAACGCTAGAAGAGGTGTCTTTCTGGCTCAAACACAGGATATCATATCGATGCTCAAGCTGGCCATTACTGACTGCTATATGGACACTCTGCTGAATACTATCGTCCGTCGGCGGGGCAAATAAACGCCTCACAACACGAGACGGTTCACGCGGACTCCTCGATCTCAAGATCTTCGGGCGCTTCGTCGGCAATCCCCCGTAGACGAGGGCGGGTTTCAAGGGGTGATCGTGATCGGGCAGCCGTAGCTGACTTGATAGCAGTGGCGGACTTGGCGGAAGATCGTCACACGTGGTTAGATCTAGGTCCAGCATATATACACCAAGTAGGTGCGCGCTCCGTGCAAAGCAGCGGAGCGCGTGCAAAAACTACACACACCGGGGTGGCAGAGAGCTGTGTGCAAAACGCTGGCTTCGTGCAAAACGTGCATACATTGCGATGGAGAGCGCTCGGTGCAAAATGGGAACCGCGTGCAAAAGAAAAGCCGAGAAAACAGATTGCTAGACAGCCTACAGATACGTGCTTGTAGCAAGTCGGCTCACTCGTGTTGGCATTCGCTCTTGTGGCTCTCGAAACTGCTGTGCTCAGCTCTTGAGTCTTGCCATACCCTGCTGCTGTTGTTGAAATTGTGTGTATATGTGTGTGTGTGTGTGTGTGTGTGTGTGTGTGTATGTGTGCGTGTGTATGTGTGTGTGTGTGTGTGTGCGCACGTGCGCACGTGCGTGTGTTGTGTGATTTGCAGTGCAAGGTGCACTGAGTCTCGGAGTTGATGTTGCCACCATGCCGCGCAGTTACATTGACTTCCTATCGATACCGGCCATGAAGCTGGCCGAGCAGCTGACACTGATTGACGCGGTAAGCGGATGCCTGCCTCCTATTCTTGGGCCCCTGTGGGCTTGTCTGTGTGCCTTGAGTAGCTGCCATGACCATAATAGTTTTTAGGATTGCACACTTCAGGGGCGTAGCAGCCGGTCCGGCGAAAGCCGGACCACTTTTTCGCCCGTTCACGGCCAAAAGTGCCAGGAATGCAGGATTTTGCACCCTAATTTCAAAAATGTCCCGGGGGATAGCCCCCCTCCTGCCCCACCAACTCCAAAGGTGCTGCTACGCGCCTGAGTGTTCCACCTATACCACATGCGCTCACTGCCCAACCCCATTCATACCGGCAGCATGACTCCAAGTCGTAGATACGCTTGTGCTATTTAGGCTGGCAGTAAGCAGTTTGGAGGAGATTTCTTTTAATCATTGGTGACTGAAAGTCCAGTTTCTGGTATTTATGGGTAGACGACGTTAACACCCTGATTGTATGGTGTTCGAGCCTGTGAGTATTTGCTGCCATTTTCTTCGGCAGCATTGGAAACCCACTCAACTGCAAGGCCCTGGTGCAGTAGATGTGAATGACCGATTGAATGTTGTGTGTGTGTGTGTGTGTGTGTGTGTGTGTGTGTGTGTGTGTGTGTGCCACTAGGTATGTGTGTGTGTGTGTGTGTGTGTGTATGTGTGTGTGTGTGTGTGTGTGTGTGTGTGTGTGTGCACAAATGGCTGACTTCTGTGTCTATCACTTTACTTATAATCCCTGTAGAACCTGTTCCGTGCCGTGGTGCCCTACCACTGCCTGTCACACTTCTGGTCAAGACGTAGTTCCGTTAAGCCTGGCACGGAGCGGTGTGCATCGGTCACCGCCACAATCAACCAGTTCAACCGCGTGGCAATGGTCCTGTCCACGTCGCTCATGAAAGGTTTGCAGCATCGGAGAGTGAGCGCCAAGGAGAACAAACCGTCCCATCGTGCCAGCACCATTCAGCACTGGGTACACATCGCACAGGTACGGTACATAAGCAAACCAGGGAGTATGTATGTATGTATGTATGTATGTATGTATGTATGTATGTATGTATGTATAAAAAAAAAATGAAAAATGAAAAAGACCAAAAAAGGGATTCACTGGCCAGAAAATGTCACTCCAAATAGCTGTATGGTGTAGACCAGGCTGAATAGTGACGGTCAATTCTTCAGCCTTGCAAGCTGTTGAATGGTGTAATCCCAGCACAAGTTGCTATGGCTTCTGCCGTAGCATTGCTATCATCGCCTCCGGCGATGGGCGTCAAAGGTCAAAGGTCAAGGTATGTATGTATGTATGTATGTATGTATGTATGTATGTATGTATGTATGTATGTATAACCCATAACCATTCTGGTGGTAGGGGCGCCATGTGTGTCATAAGGCAGTAGCATAAAAAAGAACAGAAAAAAGAAGAAGAAAACTAACTACACTGGTAAACAAGATGCCTATACTTATCACGATCAGCAGCAACG